GCCCATCCGAACCGACTTGATCCGAGTGGGGGTTTGGGTTTGCATTTCCATCGGGCCTTGGACGGTTCCATGGTTTGTGTTGCCCGATGTAGTGTGCGGCCATGATGGAGTCACCATATCGCTGATAGGCAGGCGCAAAACTACGGGTGGAAGAAGACGATTGCTACTATCTCAGCAGGGCTGCCGCATCTTTTAGAGGAGAGCAGGGTTCGTTCGGGTCGGGCTGTTGGGAGGAAACTCACGTGTATCCGCCGTGGCTGGTGACATTGTACCTGAAGCTCAACCTTGTCCATCCCCCGCCTGGGGCCCCAGTCTCACCTGGCGTTGCAGAAGAGCTGTCCGCGCCAAACCAGTCATTGAGCAGGCCCTGGTCGGCTCCATCCCAACTTCCTTTCTCCTTGGCGAACTTTCGGATCCCTTCGAAAGTCTTCAAGGAAGGCTTGAGCAACATGAGTCCACTGTTGAAGGCATCTGGCCAGCCCGTATCGGGTGAAGCGGCAAAGCTAGGGTCGCCAGGCAGCTCGAAAAGGTGGTCGATCGGCCTCTGGAAAAGTGATGGAGGAGGTAGGACGCAGGAGGAGAGGGGACAAAGGACTACTGTAAGGGTCGTGCCATTCGATTCAAGGTGGCCCTGCGCCAAGCTCGAACTCACCAAGACGAGCATATCAGCGTCCAGAAACACCAGCTTGTCGTAGCCACGCCACGGCGCCGTAGTGTTAGAAGAGATGGGGTCACCTTGGAACGAGGAAGCCGCATCCTTGCCGAGACGCCAAACATGAAGCTTTGACAAGGTGGCGACCAAGTCCGGTCTCCCTGTAAGATATCCGGTTCGATGAATGATGCGGTTTGGCCACGAATGAGAAGGACGGGTGAGTCGAGATCTAGGCCAGACCAGCAGAAGACACGATGCACGGCCGCCGATCCTGTTTCCGAAGCATTCTGCCAAGACTCACCGAGCAGGCTCAAGTTCTTCGCCATCCTGTCGGCTATCTCCTGGGACGCCTTGTCGATGCAAGTGACAGGAACGTTGCCACCATCGCCACCGAGGTCAGCCTTCTCTGCCAGTAGCTGTGCGAAGCCAATCTGCTCGACGCCAATCACCCAGTCGAACACGCCACTCCTGCTGAGAGCTTTGATGGATTGGACCGAAAGGGTCTGAGGCGTGACGAGAGCAACGATGTGGAAGGGCTTGGATTCGGCATCCGGACGACCCCTGTGAGCCTGGCGGATGGAATGAGCGAGAACCAAAGCACCAGGCAGGTAATGGTCCGAAGTGAGCAGTGTCACGAAAGCATTGTCGGTCAAGGAGTTACTGCCGCTGGTGCCGTCGCTGCTGTTGCTGATTGTGGATTCGAAGCTACCTCCCTGGCTAGGATGAGGCTGCGACATGAGGAGAGAGAGGGTGACGAGCTGGCAGGACACCAATCAAACGAAGATAAAAACAAGAATAAAAACCGTGGACTTGCTTCGTTTTCTTGTGCGGTCGTGATCGCTGTCGTTCGGCTCAGGGGCGTAGGAGAGGGGGGGAGGCGAGTTAGGGGGACCAAGAGGGGATGGGGCTATTTACACAATCGATGCCTGTCGCGGAGGTTGGTGATTGCGCCCACGTGGCAGGTAAGTTCTATCAGTTGCTGGAAGTGGTGGGCTATGATAGGACTCTTTCCACCTTCTTCTTCTTCTTCTTCTTCTTCTTCTTCTTCTTCTTATCGGGTCGGTGGCGAGTGAAGGTCAGCCCTGGTTGGTGAAGTGAGCTGGAGAGTGGAGAATGGGCAGGAGGAGGGACGAAGAGTGGGAGGAAGAAGGTAGAGGGGCAGGGAGGAACGGCAAAGGCTGAGGGGGAAGGGAGGATGGGGTTTGGGGAAGGGGAGGGGGGACGGAAGGTGGAAGGAAGGGTAGGCGACGAAGAAGAAGGAGGTGGCGAGAGGGAGAGGTGGGGAATGGGTCAAGGCCGTGGGGGGGAGCGAAGGAAGTCAGGAGGGGAGTCAAGCGATCGAGGTCGGGAGGGCAAACAGGCCAAGCTAAGGAAGAGGGGGGAAGGATCGGGTGACTTGGACAGACTCATGCTACCCTAACTTGGCACATACATATCATCATCCACTGGCGTCAGACTGGGGAAATCGCCACCCCCCACCACCTGACTGCTTCCCTCCTTCTCCCCTTCTTCTCTTCCTCTTGTCCCTCCTCGCAAGGATCGTTCTCTGTCCACCCCTGCTCGAATTTCGGATGGTTTTGTGAGTGAAGGCACAAGAGGAACATGATGGTTGACCAAATGCAGTCCCACACTGGAGTACTCCCTCCTCAGGTGGAAGAGCATGTAAAGTTTCCTGTCGTATCCTATCGGGTGTAGAATGAGCGACCTCGACTGTTACCACTCATGACTGTGACTACGATTGCGAACTGCAGCTCAACTCACACTTTGCACATCAGAGCTGAGCTGGACCAAGGTGGGGTTGGCTGCTCCACTTGCTGTTTCTCTTTTAGGGTTTGCATGAGAGAGGAGGAGGGTGGGTCCTGGTATATTCTCAACCTTTGTACAGTCGCAGTCAGGAGTGCTACGCCCGCACATGGCCCCCAAAGCCTGTCTCCGTTCTGTGTACTCTACGTCTCCTCAACCAGAGTGGTGGGATTTAGAATGTGGATGAAGCCAAAAGAATTCGAATTCGGTTCGCCTCTTGCCATCCCTCTTTGAAGATTCGCTCCCCTCTGCCTCTCGCCTTCTGAACAAAGCAAAGGACTGCCGCGTGTGATTCTGCAGTCTGCACCCAAGCATTCAAATCACCGAGCCATGCGCCCCCAACTAGGGTTCCGCCTAAACCCAGGGCGACGAGGTTATGTAGTAGTGAATGGGATGATGGATCGATTCTTGACACAAGCCACGCTTTCCTTGAACCGTTACGAGATAGACTCCATCACGACTCACCTTGCCCTACCCAACCCACCTTTCTGACCACCGCCACGGCAGCAACCCACTCACCTCTACGACCGACCTCCAACGTCCAGTGCCCGCAAGGTCGATGGGTTCGCAAGGTTCAAACTTGGGACTGCTGGATTCATGAGTAGTCACAGTCATGAGTGTGCATCACCGCAAAATCCCAAACCGACACACCGAATCCCACACCTTTGAGTGAAATTCACTCACAGCTCGGAAAGCATTTTGATCCCAATCAGATCCTATTCCCTCCGCTCTCCCCATGCGCTAATCCCCTCACTTCCCCAACTTTCCAAAAACTCGCGCAGAATTACAATCGGGTGAATCTTACTCTCAGTGCGCTCCATACGCACGCAAACCGGGGTAAGGAAGAAGTTGGTTTTCTTTTCTTTTCATTTTTCTTTTTTTCGAGGTCCGTGCATCGGTACAGGTTGGTTTTCTTTTTTAAACTAACAGCTCTTCAATTGTTGCCTCTCCTATTTTCTTCTCTCCTCGAGAAAAACTCGAATCTTGAATTCTCTCTTCTGCTCCTCCTCCTCCTCCTTCTTCTTCTCCTCCTTCTTCTTCTTCTCTCTCTCCCTCTTTGATTTTTTTGGGCCCCCTATTGTGAACCCCATAATCTTTCCATCGAACTCACGATTCAAGCTTTGACATGGATCGTTCGTCTTATATTGCTTGTACCACTACACTTGAAAAGAAACCCCACACCTTCACTCACTCACATCACTCAGACCGCTCCCCCTTCTTGACTCGACCACATTCGAGATCACTCTTCTCGACTTCACCAACACTCACTTCGACCTGACGCAACTCGGGTTAGGAGTGAGCGAGCCAGTCAGCCCAAGCAATCTACATTCCATGGTTGTATGCACTCGGGCACAGTCCCAGTGGGGAGTGTGGGGGGATTCAACTGCGAATTCGCAGCGCGTGAGGGAAAGGAAAAGGAATGGAGCTGGGCCTGGAGGATGTCGGTGAAACTCGCTCGACTTGCGCGCAGGAGAGCCGAGAGCCGATCTTGGTGTGGCGGCGAGATAAGTGGGATGGAGGAGAGAGAGGAAACGTTTGGGATTATGGATTCGGAACCACAGAATCAATAACATCATCGATGATCCCAAGGGGCAGAAAGAGACTTCGCACCATAGTGGGGATCGAATGGTAAATCCTCGTTCTTTCCTTGTCCAAAACGCTGAAGACAAACGAGCCTGCAGCCGCGCCCTCCACAGTCACTCGGTCCGTACTGCATGTACCGAACATGACCAGTATGCACGGGAGATGCCTCCTACTTGGAGAAGAAACTTGGCTTGGGATCCTACCATCCCTAGAGACAACCCTAGTTCTCAAAGAGAACAAAGAAGACGGTCCTAGAAACCTTGCCAACAGAAAGGAAAAGGATGAGAAGGAACGAAAGACAGAACTGTCACATGGATGCGAGATGAAGAGACGCTCTTCGGGACGTTCCCACGGAATGATTTTTGGATGGGCAAGGGGGGGAGAACGAGGAAAGGAAGCAAGATGGAAGAGGGAGAAAAGGGAGGGAGAACAAAGATTCGATCTTGTCTCGAAATGTTGAAGATCATCTGGAAGAATTCCCGTTCTTTCCTACTTCTTCTTCTTTCCTTTTGGTTGGGGTAAGCAAAACAAAAGAACAAACGAAAAAGAAACCCACCAAGAATCATGCATCGTGCACTCCGCCGGAAAAAAAAAAAAAGATTAAGAGAAATAGTAGAAAATAATAGTTCCATGCCGGTCGCTAGCAAAGGAAAGGGGGAAAGGGATCAAAGTCACAAACACTCCTCGGTTTGGGGTCCGACGGGGGGGGGGGGGGGGTGGGGGGGGAGAGGCATCATGTTCAATGTGGTGAAGGTTTTTCGCCCTGCCACAAGTGCACCACCAGCGTTTTGCTACAAGGGGAGGAACTGCAAGGCCGTGGGGCTTTTAGAACCATATCACGCGATTCGGAAAGTTTAGAGTAGGTCTCTCGTATCAGAGCAGTGACAAGTTGTGATTGTATGGCAACCTTTAATTCGGGTGAGTGAGAACTGCCAAAAAGGCAAAAAGAATTCGAAAAAAGAGCCCCACGTGGGGGTCGAACCCACGACTTCATCTTGAATCCGGTTAGACACTGTTCGTCACGTAGGAGAGATACGCTCTACCACTGAGCTAGCAGGGCTTCTTGTTCTGGCAAGACTTGGTTAAAGTATATATTTGCACTACCTGTCATTATGCTCAATAACCAACGGACAAGATCATCATTTTTAATCTCGACCTGATCGTGGTGAGAGTGGTAAAGTGGGCCTGCAATCGTGGAATTTCGGAAGGGTTCCTTTGGAGACTACCCGATACATATCTGTCGGACAGGGTCCATCTCTTGAACTTTCGATCCATCAAGGCAGTTCGGCAGAAACCACAGCAGCGAAACCACTCTGCCATGTTCATGGTTGTTGACACGAGCGCGTTTCGAACACCCAACGCGCACCCCCCCCCTAACCGGAACCATGGACGGAAAACCCGGCGACTTAGTTCTCGAAACCGTTGGACTCGGCCTCAAGTCGACCTGCCCATGCCTCTGGCCACAACCACAACATCGTCGTTTCCAGAATAAATACGTAAAACACCTCAACCGCTCGGAACGCATGTGCCAATGAATACGAAGCTGATTGCTATCTGTTCGGCTCGTCTACGACCGTTGAGAGCTAGCTACTCACACTCATTTCCACGAAGTAGCTCTAGCCTTGAGAGTGTGACGCTGAGCCCCATTTCTTTTCTTTTCCTTGGGTTTCCCCATTCGCCACCATCTCAGACCACTTCCTCCGATTTCCTGTTGGCCACTAGAGACAAGCCATTCTCGCCGTAGTAGAACAGCGATTATCCGCTTTGCTTGAATCCAATCCAACTCAACATGATCGGATCCAGAATCAACCTTAGCTGACCAACTTGGATTCATTGGTAAGCCTTGGAAGAGGCTTGTTGGAAACTACACCTTTCTCTCTCATATCGACTGCACGAGTGATTGGAATCACTCTTCCTTCCCCTTCACCGTATGTACGTAAAAACATGAAATAAGTCGCCTCTTTCTTTGGAACTGCTGGAACAAGGGTGCATGGAGGGGATTGGGGAAGAGACTGTTGCGCGATCTGCGTGATGCGGTGCAAGGCTCCTCGTCACCAGCTTTGGCCCCAACGAACTCAGAGCTTACGCTTCCTGAGCCTGCTTTCTGTGGCTATAGATCACGCGAGATAGTGTCGGTGGTCACCCGCGCTGGCTTTTCTTCAGATGATGATGAAGTGAATGTGAATGGTTGAAAGGGTCCTACGAGGTTAGGGAGGCGAGGCGAAGAAGCTGGCATCCAGGAAAGCCGACTCGTGAATGTGATTTCCTTCTGGTGCTCCCAAGGCATGGGGGGTTGTTCGTAGGCTGATCAAACACGGCGGCAATGGGATCATGAAGAAACCGTTACCCCCACCATGCGCATGGCGCGGTCCACTTTCAGATGTGGGTGTTGGTGGTAAAAATGACGTGTGCATCTTTGATCCGGTTGCTCTCCGCCGCCCACGGAAACCCTTCCCTCTTTTCTACTTTTCCACGCCCCATCTCATGCGTCTGTATCTATCGGAAGTGAAGGATTTCCTCTCGTGTCGAATTCACACAGGAGCATCTTCGCTCTTAGAGTAACACTGTTCTTTCACGCCTCTTCTCCTTCAGCTTCTCACCAGACTTTCGCCAAACCTATCCTGCTCTCCAATCGGAGTCAATCCCAGTTGGAAAATAACGGTTAGGGCAAAGGACATGCAGTACACCCACCCACGCCCCCAAGTCAAGAATCACGGTCGTGCGGTGTTCGTTCCAACGGCAGAGTGATGAACTCTATAATATGAGTAAAAAAGAAACAGATCCATGAGAACCACAAAGGACCCAACGAAGGTAGCATCGCTCAGACTCCAAATCCATGATTCTTGAATGTGAATGGGCAACTAGAATGAAAGGGGGAAGCGGCTCAAGATGGGAGGGACAACGATCAAGGTCTTGCTCGATGAGCTCCTGCCACTTCATCGCTTCGGTGACTTGGTCCTCAAGATTCGAAAAGGTCTAGTCGGTGAAGCCTTCCCACGCCTTGCCTTGCCTTGCCATGCTCCGTTCGTTGGTCGCTGCCCTCATTCATTCCGGCTTGTTTGTTTGTTTTCGATATCATTTGATGTTCCTTTCCGACTGAAATCCCTGCTGCGATTCAAAGTACTCACAGCTTGCTGTTGTTCCAAAGGGTTCCTGGTAGTGCCGGATCGGTGACTTTGTCAAGAGTAGTGTGAGTCTTGGATCTCTCGCTCAGGACGTACTCTGAAACAAACCCCTCAGTCCGTTCCACGGAGAGTCCCCTCCTTCGCCTTGGTGAGTTCGTAGGCTTCTTTAACCCTCCTTTACTTTGTTTTGGTGGTTCCATCAAGCCTCGCCTCTCGCTTGACCTCCTCACCCTCTTTGACATTCTTCTTTTCACCCTATTTCTTTTTCCCAACCCCCATCCATCGTTCCCACAGTTCTCAAATGTGAGTGTCAATTCGACCGATCTCAAGCTTCGGCGCTGTGGAAGAGCTGAGTGTAGCCAACGATGCCTCTTTCTTCCTCCTCGCATTTCTGTCATCTTTTCCCCCATCTTCCCTCTACGCAGAATCCATTTTGAAGAAAAGAGGGAAAAGGAGAGGTATCCTCTCTCCCAAGCAAGATCGCCCACTGAACGTTCTTCCCTCCTCATTGGCAATCATCAACGAAAATTCTCCCTCACACTTCGCCCCAAAGCCACGTCGGCTCAGGCAATCTCTGCAGAACTTGGCTTTCATCCTCAGACATCGAGGCTACCTCAGCTCGGCATCATCGAAATTCAAATCCGAGGGCGAGAAAAGGTCGAATAGAGGAAAGAAGGGGGGAAAGACGGTAATAAGATTGGCTGGCAATGCTGGCATCAAGTAGAGGTAATAGAGATCAGCCAAAAGAGCGCCACAGGCCAGCTTCCTTGATCATCAGCTCCATCCTCAAGCTCGCCTTTGCGCCTACTTCTCCGTCAGCAGGACCGATCTCCAAGTCTAGCGAGACGGGCGTTCAAGATGAGACAGCAGATGATCCGAGATACGTGGGTCTTGCAGCATACATGCCTCCCAGAATCGTCTTTCAACCAGTAAACGATAAACCTAATCTTCCCTCCTCAAAACCCTGACGTTTCGCTCACTTGAACAGATAAATGACATCTACGATGAAAGAGCTAGCCTCTTCTTCAACACCCCGGCGACAGCGCCATGCACCAGGAGTCCTCATGATCCACGCTTCCCTTGCCCTGCTCCTCTTCCCATCCCAGAGAAGAAATCCAACAGCATTTCGCCTCCTTGTGACACCGAAGGGATATCGGTTTCACTGAAACAGACTCATTCAGAAACTAGCAGTCCTCGATCGCAGCATTTCGGGTTGTATAGAGCCGCCCCGGGTTGCTCCTCGGACTTCTCCAACGCCATGGCCTTTGGCCTCCAAGGGCTCAATGGTCGCAACAACGAAGCCACTGTACGTTCGGGGAAGATGGTTTCCCCAACGGGATCTCAGCGCTTTCGCGTGAGCCGTCGCAGGCTTTCTGGGTGGCGCAGGAGCATTTCAGGTTCAGAGACACTTGCCTCGCGTCAGCCTCCCGAATCGGAGCAAGAGGTGGCAAGGCTATGTCAACAAGAGCAGAAACTCGGCCAAGAGCAAGGAAAGGAAGGAGAGACACCTGGTTCGCCAAAAACTCCCGATGATGGAAGCTCTCGCCGACCTTCATCGTCTTCCTTCGCGTCTACACTCGCTTTCTGGAGAACTAAAGCTTCATCTCCTGGCGCAGGTTGCCAAGGCTCTTGGGACCCCGCAAAGAGGAGTGAAGGGAGGAAGACGCCTTCTCCGAGGCTGGCTGCTTTCTCAATATTTGGAGGAGGCAATGGCAGGGGATCCCATGAAATCGAGCGAAAGTCTGGTCGCACGCGACGATCTTCGGTGCAAGGTCTTGGCATCCGGGTAAACCAACCCAGCCCTCGGGAACGTAGCAGCCAAGGTTCCTTCGCTGCTGGGCTAGAAGCTATTCAGGTACAGATTCGAGCAAAAAACATAACCCGGAGGGTCGAAAGGGTCGAGAACTCAGAGCCTTGCATACCTCTGAGGGGAGCATCTCTACCTAATCGGGAGGAAGAGGAGGAGAGGATTGAGAATTCCGGGGTGCATTCTACTGGCTTAGCCGCACCCATCACGGAAGGCAATGGCCATCACGGCGAGGCCAAGATCTCTGCGCCGCTCGACCTTAGCCTTTCGTTCGATTCAGCATGTTCCAGCAAAGTTGCATCTCCGCGGAAAGCCAAGCTGGAGCTGGACCTCAAAGATCTGGAATTTTCCTCGCAACAGGCCCAGGATACCATCAAGTCAAGCCTCACTTCCCCAAGAACACCCATGGGACTATGTGATCCCTCCGGTCCCTTCATTGCCTCCAACCCTCCCCTTGCAACCACCAGCCCCGAGTGTGCGGGAGGCTTTTTCGAAGGTGTAGGCAACTCCCCCATCATCGGCTCTTTTGGCACTCACCACGAAAGGCAGAACTCGGTAGCTCTTGGAAGTCCCGGAGGGAAAAGTCTGTCCGGGCCTTCTTCGCCGGCTCATGTCTCTCTTCGTAGGATCATGGCGCTGACCAACACCGCACTGGAAGGGGACTGTCAAGAAGATCTCTCAATCCACGGTGAGGAACTGGTCAAACGCTTAGACGATCCCTTCTCGGCCGCGAGAACTTTCCCTTTCGCCTCTACAATCCACATTCACTCGGAAACCCAGTCACCTCCTAGGGGAGAGGTATGGGACTCGGTGACTTTCGGTCATGCGATCGAGAGGACGCCGACCGAGTCCACCCAGTCCGAGGGCGGCACACCGGTCCTGGACTCTGACACCGCGGACGATGCTGTGAACGCACTGTGGCACCAGAGGGAGATGCTGTCCATCTTGAGATCACCTCTTGAAGAAGATAAGGGGAGCACTGAATCTGGCTTGACCATTGTTCCCGATAAAGGCGCTCATAGTCGCCTCGAGGTGCGCACCCCGAAGAGATCTTGCACTTCGGGCTGGGAGGAGTCGTCAAGCAGCCCATCGAGGCCTTGGGGAAGTGCGAAGCGTGCTCGCGAGCTA